GGCTGCTTAAGAAGCACAAGACAACAAATAGTGCTAGTCCGGTGCATGAACAATGCAGTGTCACAGCGGGAAATTGCAACCAGGGGCACCAGACTGACCAGTGTATGAACAAGGACACCGCCCTATTCTAGCAAAGAGGGTGTTCTCGTGTGCATCTCGGTCATGCACTCACCGAACACTGAATAGTGAGTGTCGGGTGCAGTAGACACTATGCAATCTAACGACTAGTTTGAAAAAATAGCCATTGGGGGAGCATCGAACAATGAACAATAACAAACCGGTGCATGAACAGTACTTGCCCGGTGCCCACAAAAAAGCTGAGTAGAGGGGCAACGGCTAGTTTTGACTTGGGGGCTATAAATACTTGCCCCAACCGGCCATTTGATGTGTGGAAGAGCTGACGGAAGGTGCTAGGGTGTTCATACACCATATTGGAGCTCTCCATATGGATAAGGAATAAAAGGATCACTTGGTGATTAGCATAGGTATTTTGCGAAGTGCTTAGGTTAGTTAGACCACACTCATGCGCTTACTCTAGGCTTAGGCTTAGTAGTTAGTGAGGTTTGTATACCTCAGAAGAAGAAGGTGCTTGCTTGCACCCTGTTTGTACTCAGTGGGGCTTGTAGTCTTGCGAGACCACACCAACTGTGTTAGTGGTGTGCCTACCATCATGTACCGAAGAGAATAAGGGCTGCGGTGTTTTGTCCGAAAACTTGATAGTGGAGACGGCAGGGAGCATCTAGGAGAGGCTTGCCAGTAGACACACCAGAGACCCACTTACGCGTGGTGAAGGCTGGGTCTATCTATAGAGTTACCCGACCGAGACCTTAGCCCTTGTGAGGGAATCCTTGTGAGAGCTCCAACAAGGACTAGGGAGAAGCTTGCACGCTTCTCGATACCTCAGTAAAAATGCCAGTCATCGATGGAAGTTTGTATCTTTATCTCAGTTAAGCTTCTGCATTTACAATATTACCTGAGTTATGTGCTCTACCTTTCCTAGCTTAGTTGATAGGATTGGAACCAAAGTTGCATAACTCCTGTGTGGTAGAGATAGCAGCACACCTAGCAAAAGTGTAGTTGCACATTTAGATAGTTTATTTTGTTTCATAGGTTTTACTAAGATTGGAATTAGAGGCCATAGTTAGAAATAGATTTTGAGTTACATAATTCACCCCCCTCTTAGGCATCACGGTCCCTTCAATTGGTATCAGAGTTGGTCGACTCATTTTTAGACCTTTGGCTTCACCACCGTTGAGTCAACGCTGTTTAGAGAGGGAAGGATGGATACCTCTAGGCCTCAGCACTTTGACGACACTAATTTCCCCTACTATAGCGCTAGAATGGTTTGCTACCTTAAGCAGTAGATCTTGGTGTTTGGAGAGTCACCCGAGATGGGATGAAATCCGTTAAGAATCCCGAGAAACAAAGCGTAGGTGGTGAAAAAGAAATTCACCTTAATATAAGAGCTAAAAATTGCTTGTTTGAATCACTAAGCGTGAAAATTTCTAACCAAGTGTTCACATTTAAAAGTGCAAATGAAATTTGATTAAAATTGCATGAGCTCCGTGATGGCACAAGTAATGTCTGTGAGCAGAAATATTGCCTAGCAAAACAAAGCTACGATTCCTTTAAAATGAATGAAAATAAGCTTGTTCGTGATAAGTATTCTCACTTGAATCTAATTATCAATAAGCTCAACTCTATAGGATTGACAAAGCTAGGTGATGCGGACATTATGAGGAAGATCATCTTGGTGCTACCACATGACAAATATGCAAGCATCATCACCATCCTTGATAACATAGAGGACCCGAGCAACATGATCACCGCCATTGTCATTAGCAAGCTAGTGGGATTTGAAATGTCATGCAAGATGGGTCAAGAAGCAGCCACTTCATGAAGCAAAGGAACCGCTCTCTGTGATGAGCGTAAGAAGATGAAGGGCAAGCAAGTTGAGTCAAGCTCAAGCTCAAGCTCCTCAAGTGATGATGATCAAGCCTGCACCTCCTCCTTGGACATTGATGAAGATGTAATTAAGGTAATCGAGAAGGTGGTGTAGAATATTCACAAGTTGAATATTAAGGGTGTGCCCATCCAAATTGAAGACTGCCTTTTCACTAACCAAAAAAGAGAACAAAGAAAGAAAGGATGCTATGGATATGACAAGAAGGTACAATTTGTGAAAGATTGTCCAAACAAGCCCACACCCAAGGCAAAGAAGGCAAAAAATGCTAAAGGCCAAGCTCTCACAACAATCAAGACTTGGGATGATTCATCGAGTGGAGATGAAGCCCAACATAAGGGGTGTGACCACAAGCACTCATCATCACACTCTTCACGCATGTGCCTTACGGCACAAGGTAACGAAAGTTCTAGCTCTAGTGATAGTGATGGTGATGATGAACTACCTTCTTATGATAAAATTGTGCAAGATAATCATGAATTTACTAAGCTTTGCACTAGCCAACAAAAGAAAATAAATAGACTTAAAAGCAAAGGTAGATAGCTCACAACATGCTTATAATTTGTTGCTTGAACAATATGAAACTTTTGCCAATCTTAATGTGGAGCTATCTACTAAAATTGAGCAACTTGAAGCTAGTGCAAACACAAAGAAAGCACAATAATCGATGGGCAACTAATGAAGAAAAATGATAAATTAAAAGCTAAGTTAGCTAGTTCACAAGAAGCTTATAGAAGTTTGCTTACTAAAAATAGAAATCCTTAGCAAACATTGTGATGAGCTAACTAATAATGTTGTTAATCTTGAAGCCATCAGTACAACCCCCATCGAGGCACCTAAAATGAAAAGCTCAATCTCTGACATGTCTAAAAAGGATGCCTCTACTTCTTGCGATGGTTTACTTGAATTGGACTTACCCCTTTGCGATCAAGTTGTCTTAAGAATGTAATTGTAGATACATGTACACAAGTCACAATGGGGAATGAACAACTTAAGCAAGAAGTGGCTTGCCTCACCAAGGACTTGATTCAAGTGAAAGACAAGACGGAGCAAATCCAACCTCATCAAGATAACACCATCAAGGGAGTGAAGAAGCTTCATAAGGGAGCTACTGTGGTTTGCTACGTGTGCTACAAGGAAGGCCACAAGTCCTTTGAATACAAGAAGAATGGGAAGAATCAGGATAGGGGCTACGCTAAAGCACGTTTTTTTTACCTGAGCCCTCATATAAGTGGAGCCTTTTGGAGTTGCTTCTAGATAGAAGTAGGTTAGAAAACCAACGTAGTTTTCCACTTCAGGTGATGTCATTGAACGTCAGCATTTTCCCGAATCTCAAAGCTCCTCACGAATTCTTATATAAGCCTCGTGCTCCTATTAGGGTTTACTCCCCGCCGCCGTCACACGCGTTTCCTATCTTCGTTCTCGCGCGCCCTCCTCCACTTTTCTTCTCACTGCACTCATGGCGGAAGTGGAGGCTCCGATGTAGGAGGTCAAGCTCTTCGGTCGCTGGTCCTTCGAGGACGTACAGGTACCCCATCATTTCCATCCCTCCACTTTCTCCCTAGCCCACCCTCGTCTCATCGTTTTATCTCTCATTCTGCGGCGATTTGGCTTTTAAGTATTGCGGTGCCAAGCGAGCTAGTTTGTTAGATCTGGTGGGTTAGAAGTGATTTTCTTAGGCTGTTCGGCTGCTGGTACTTCGAGGACGTCAAGGTACGCCATCTTCTCCATACATTCCCCCCTCCCCCATCCTCGTCTCATCGTTTTAGCTTATATGCTGAGGCGATGCAGATTTAAGTATTGCGGTGCTAAGTGAGCTGGTTCGTTGGATCTGGTGGGTTAGATGTTACGTATTGGCTGTAATTGATAATACGATTTGATGATTAAATAGTGGATATACTGGTATTATTGGTGAAGAAGGTTGATGTTTAGATGATTGATTGTATTTGTGTTTTTATATATGGTGATTTTCTTTGTTAGGCTTAAGAATAAGTCAGGGAGAAAAATAGGTTTGTGGACACTGGACTATAATTCCTATCTCTGGTCACATTTGACTTTGCACGGTCAGTGATGTACATATCTGACTGCTAATATCTTATGCTCCATCTGCAATTCTAGCATCAAATATTGTCCCAAAAAGAATGCAAATCTAACTTAGGACTAGCTTATGAGGCCCTAAAAAGAAGTGTCATAATGTATGATGGCAATGAAGTATAAAGTTTGTGGATGGAATCATTTGCCTTGTTCCAATCAACACATGAGGAGAATAAAAAGAATAGGGGTACATACATGATTTCAGTTCACTCGATTGTCATCGCAAGATGAGAATTACATTCTTTGTGAGATGGAGGGAGTAGGATGTATTCTTAAAACTTTAAATTTTTTAGATTGAGATTTTACAAGTGTTCTCCAATATAAATTTACACATTATTACCCTTATTGTATCTCCAAACTATAAGATTTAAAAGTTATTGATGTTTGTAGTTTTTATTAAGGTTTGACCAAATATTTTCTTAAACATGTTTTTGACCAGGGTATTATTTTATTAATCTGGGTGTATTGGTCTATCTTGAGTATATCTCCATTGTACTTAGTTTCAATGGTCTAGAAAATATAGATAAAGCTGTCTTATTGTTACTGTATACTTAGTTACTAACTGTTGCTATACTTTGGTCTAGAAAATATAGATAAAGCTGTTTTATTATTACTGTATACTTAGTTACTAACTGTTGCTATACTTTTGAAATACTTAGGAGTTAAAATTTATACTGAAGGTTGTTGTCCTTGTATCCTGCTACATTGTCTTCAATCATTGCAACTATTCTTACCAACTAGTTTGTGCTGAAGGTTTCAAATATGTTATTGGGTATTTATTTCTGGTTTCCTGTGAATCTAGTATGGTTGAAATGCTACACTGTTTCTTTACTAGCGCTTGTTCCCATTAAGCTTTTTATTTTAAGCTGCCCTTGCTACCTACTAGATGTGTTACATTTGGTTTATGATTTTTAAACTATTCTTTTTGAATATTTTTGTGCAGGTCAATGATATTTCACTGGCTGATTACCTTGCCGTCAACCCCACAAAGCATGCCATTTATCTTCCCCACACTGCTGGAAGGTATTCGGTTAAGAGGTTCCGCAAGGCTCAGTGCCCAATTGTTGAGAGGCTGACAAACTCTCTGATGATGCACGATCGCAACAATGGCAAGAAGGTCATGGCTGTTCGCATTGTGAAGCATGCTATGGAGATTATTCACCTGCTAACTGATGCAAACCCTATCCAAATTATTGTTGATGCCATCATAAACAGGTAACTATTCTAAATGGAGTGTTCTCTTTAATATCAGCTATTCGTATTTCCCGGTAACATGCTTTTATTTATTGCTCTTGTTTAATCTTAGGAGTTTAATCTTTTTATCAATCACGTTACTTCTCCATATTACTGTTGGGGAGAATGTCTCCAGTGCTAACTGCACCTTGAAGTCCTGTTCTCTTATTGAGAAAAGGCTTCAAAATATGCAAGAAAATTTTGACCAAAAATATGAATGGATATTGGATATAGAAGATGAAATGTCTATCAGCACTGGAATAGTTTCGGGTTGCGGATCAGACATGAACAGTACAACCCCCAACTATTCAAGTGCTGATTTCACTTTTTTCTCATTGCACATGTTTTTGTTGCCATCCCAAATCTTTGCATCATATTGTTGGTGGAAACTTTCGCACACATTTCCATGCCTTTTTAACTGGAGCATGCGAGCACCTGTTCTCTGCCGTAGGTTATGTATATTGTTGTAATTTCTAATCATATTATTATGTGACACAAATCAGGATCATGGCATGTATGCAATTGGATGATTAATGATCTCTTGGGAAAAGGAAAACTAATGTGTCCACTTGCATACACTTCATTGGTTTTATGGCATTGTCTATGAGGCTAACTGCCTTGTCATCCTTCTATCATTTTGCTTAAAGTATGTCTACATGCATGGACTTTCATTAGTTTAATGCATTATCTAATGAGACTGAATGAATGCCAATGATTCTCCTGTCATTTTGCCAACAACACATGTTGCATTTATCTTGTCACACAATGACCGAATCTGCCCAATTGGCAACGAATGGATACCTTGCTGATACTTTTGTTTGCTATTATGCACCTTATCATCTGTATTTTTGGCTTTTGTTGTCTCTAATGGGGTAATATTTTGTCTAATTTAGTGGTCCAAGGGAAGATGCAACTCGAATTGGATCTGCTGGTGTTGTTAGAAGGCAGGCAGTTGATATATCTCCTTTGAGGCGTGTGAACCAGGCAATCTACCTTCTTACAACCGGTGCTAGGGAAAGTGCTTTCAGGAACATCAAGACCATTGCAGAGTGCCTTGCCGATGAGCTTATCAATGCAGCTAAAGGTTCTTCTAACAGGTCCTCCCTGTCCCAGAAAATCTGATACTTATTAAGATTCAATATTTGTTCCAGAAAACCTAGGTTGGGCCCATATCAGCCTGAGACTGCGGCTTGCATAGAGGTGAAAACGGTTGGCTTGCTATAGGGGTGAAAACGGTCGGAAACCATAAAAACATTATTACAATATAGAAAAAGAAAACAGCTGGTATAGGATTTTTTTCTACATTTTGGTAATAAATGAGCACAAAAAATAGTTGTGAAACCAATTGAAAATGATTTTTTTTTATGTCTGGATAAATTTGAAAACAGTATCATAATATAAAGAACAAAAATGGTTGGTATGGGATTTGTCCCGTTCACTTTCATCACTAGGCTTTGCATGCCTTTAAATTAGCGTGGATCACCTTCAATTAATTAAATAGGGGTACATGGGTAGTTTGCAACTTTGCAGTGATAACTAATTTGTCCTAAAAAATTGTACAACCACTACGTCACACAGGGTTTGTAGGGGCGGCTCAAGACCATTTGTAGGGACGGTTTGGCCAGCCGCTCCTACCAAACCGTCTATACAAATCATACATTTGTAGAGGCGGTCTGGTGTTATCAGCCGCCCCTACAAATCGATTTGTAGAGGCGGCTGGTGTTATCAGCCGCCCCTACAAATCGATTTATAGGGGGCTAGTAATTTGTAGGGGCGGTTAGTGTTACCAGCCCCCCTATAAATCGATTTGTAGCGGCGATTGTAGTACCAGCCGCCCCTATAGTACTTATTTGTAGGGGCGGTTCAGTCTAGAACCGCCCCTATAGTATATTTCTCCGTAAAAAAAAATCAAATTTACAATTCAAATTCGACCAAAACATACATATGGCCCTATTTGTTTCCGTGTATTCTGGCGTTCGCGTTGCGAGTGAGCGAGGAAAGAGAGATAATCCCGCCGAACGCCCCGCGACCAACGCGCGACCGGGAATCGCCCGCGGCATGGAACGCGCAAAACTTAACTATGACCCGCGATTCGCAAAACGCAGCCTCCAAACTGCGTTCGCTCAAGAGTATTATATAAACTACAATTATAAGTACAATTCACAAGAATATATACAATCCATCATTAAATAGACATAATTCACAAGATAAAACCAATGTCAAATTTTATACACATTGTTATCAACGGCCTAGAGCTAGCCTTTCGTTCTCACGAAAATGTTGGTACTGAGGATTTCTACCTGAGTTAGACTCTTGGTCATGGTAGGTGCCTTTTACGTGTACAATCTGGTCCAATATAAAGTTGCAAAGGTCGCCGACGAGCTCTAAGGGTTGGTTATCCTTGTATGGGTCTTTTTTTATTTCTCTCTCTTCTTTCCACTACAAGAGAATAAGTTTCGGTTTAGTATTTTATACCATGTACGAAATTTTTATACTACAGGTGAAGAGGTTTAAACTTACCCTTAAGGGGTGGCTCCTGGAGGCACCGGTGTTACTCATCATAGAACATACATAGTATCTATAATGTACACTCCCAGGCTTCTGTTTGGGGCACTGTGTGTTTTGCATATGAAAATGGTAAGTAATATTTTTGACAGCCATGTAATGGAGTACTGAAAAAGTAAGTTATACTTACCGTACATAGTGTTTTTATAGCCAGCTTTTTCTTTCTTGCTAGATCATGCCTTCCGTGATGTTTAGTGACATAGAACCTAGATGCCCTGTTCAAATTATTTTATCAAATACAACTTGTTAGTATCCAAAAGTGAACGTTACAAGTATGTATACAAACATATAAGCTAATGAGGATTGTCGATATGTATACGTCTTGAGAATCGATATGAAGTCTTTGTATGTAACCGGGTCCCTATCTATTGAATCAAAGACCCATGCCATGCTCTTCCCGACATCGACGCCTATACAAATCCAGTGGTTGCTGTATGGATTTAATTATAGAACTAGATAAGCTCTTTTGCATCAAATAAAATATATCGAATAAAGCTTTAAGTATATAGTTGAACTTACTCAAAGTTGTATGGTAGCCATATAGTAGAGTGCTGTTAAAGAATTTTAAAAGTCAGGGTAATGTATGCCGAAACCTTAAGGAACTCTTGTCTTAGTTTCTTTGTACGGATGTCCTCTTTCTCTCGAAGATCTTTCTAGCAGCTAGTTCTTTGTCATCTAGTTTATACTGTTTAGGGTAATTAAAATTTGTTTGTGCCATAGCTTGAGGGTCTATATACCTGGCTTTCACACTTGGCATTTATTTTATAATGTGCATTTGCATTCTACAAGGTGGTTGGGGCATGCATAGATTTTTTTCAACCCACATTGTCAATGGACTTATGACCTTCTTCGCTTGGTATGTGTTGGCGGGAACTGAGTTTGGTTGTGACAGCACCCATGATAGGAGACGCAATAGATCAATGAAACTACATTCTGACCAGCCATACTTAGCCTTCCGGATGAGTAGCTCAAGCACAAAACATAGCAATGTTCAATGTGTTGGACATCCCTTTTCAACAGTATACACAGTCTCATTCAATACTTTTATCACCCTTTCCAAATTTTCTAGACCTTTCGGGCTCTTTAGTAAAATCTCTGATCCAAGGGCTCGAATCATGTCCTCTAAATCATCTTCATCCTCGACACGTGCTCCACCATCATTATTGGCACCACCTTCGTCGTTACCATCCCAACCACCAGCATCACCACCTTATTCATTGTCAAACTCGGAATCTATTCATGCATCAAGCTCTACGGAATATTGGGACAGGGATTCTAGGGTTTCGTCGTCGTATTTCTTATCCTCGTCGTTAACAATAACCGTTTCACCATAATGAATCCATACTGTGTAGTTCTCAACAAATTCTCTCATAATCAAATGTGATCTGATGATAGTCACATCTGTCCATGCCATACGGTTCTTGCAATCTTTACAGGGACAAATAATTATATCCTTATTCTCTGTCAATGTCGTTGCATGCTTCTTTACGGCTTCAATAAATTTATCCACCTCTTCACGAAAACCTGCCTTGAACCTTAATGAACCATACATCCAAGAGTTCCTGTACTCCATCTTTTACAGCAACAACAAAACAAACATCGTATATACTTCAAATATATATGAATATAAATCAAATATAATTACATGAAGCATACAAACACACCATGGTAGAGAAAAATTAATTAATGGCACATTTATCCATAAATAATTAAAATACATATTTATTGATTACAATAAATAATTTTAAAGACAACAATTAGCAACAATTATATTTTACCCAATATCTTTTATGTAAACCCTAGTCCAATTTCATCAAACATAAATTTACAAAAACAAAATTAATGAAAAAACTAAACCCTAGATCTAGATCTACATGCACATGAAACATCTATAAAACTAACTAATTATTCACTAAAATCAAGAAACATGGACCAAATAAGGGTATGATCTTGTTCCCCTAGCTAATTTATCTAAGTACATTTAAAACTTGGGTCTAATTTGCTTCATAAGTAGCTCAAGCACCATAGAAGAGAGAAAAGCAAAACTCTAATTACTCACTAACCAATCATTAAAACTTCAAAAAAAAGTGTGGAATAGCATTTTCTTACCTTCTACAACCTCTCTACTAAATGATTTGAGACCAAAACCTTCCCCCTTAGTAGAGCAATTTTTGGAAGGTGCCTAAGGCCTCCCCATCTTTCTTTCACGGGTTGGAGTGAGTGACCCGAGGAGAAAGAATGTGCTGTAGTTTTTTTATATGTGGGTTATTTGTAAGGGCGGCTAGTAATTGAGCCGTCCCTACAAATCGGAGGTATTTATACACGGGGCATTTGTAGGGGCGGCTCAATCACCAGCCGCCCCTACAAATAGCAATATGGGGGCGGCTGGTGAGTAAGCCGTCCCTACAAATCCGACCCATTTGTAGGGGCGGCTCGTATCACTAGCCGTCCCTGTTGTTCCATTTGTAGGGGCTGCTAGTCTCGTGGCTCCTGAGCACACCACTGTAGGGGCGGCTCTATCACCGGCCGCCCCTAAAAAAAAATGTCCTATTGTTACAAACCGTTTTTCACGTAGTGAACATAAGTATTTTGTGATGGAGGGAGTATGTTAAGTATTTTTCACGTAGTGAACATAAGTATTTTGTGATGGAGGGAGTATGTTAAGTATTTTGTGATGGAGGGAGTATGTTTTATTCTCATCTTATATCGGTATCCTTCAGTGTGACATAACCTGTAAATGTACTGTAGCATGCATTCCATTTTCACAAGTATTAATGAGGTAACCACAAGTCTTTTCACCTCTCCCTTGATTTATTTGAATGAATCCTATGGTTCTTTCCCCAAACCTTGTGTGCTCTATTACCTGGCCATATTGCTGCCACTAGCACAGAAGCACAGAATTCCTAATCCCCATCTTTCCTGTGTTCTTTGTTGCCCCAGCTTGCCATGGTTGTTGAATTGGTCCTAATTTTATGTCGTACACCATTTAATGCTTTGTTAAACATGACATGGCACTTTTTTTTTGCCTCGCAGCTACGCCATCAAGAAGAAGGACGAGATTGAGCGTGTCGCAAAGGCCAACCGCTGAGCATCCAAATGGGAAGGAGAAGCGAGGTTTTGGGTGAAGAATGTTTTTAATAATATATCCATCTACCCTGTTTATCTGTGAATTTAGCTCTGGTGAAGTCTCAGAATCTGTGTCCCTGTCCTTTTGTACTTGTCTTGAGCTGAAAAGAGTTAGCCGCAATATGAATTAAATTTTTGCCGTAGATGTAATAGTTGCATGTGAACTATGCCATACATGAGACTCGTTTGTATGACAGTGGATATGATCTCCCCGTTCTGGCGTGATGTGACATTGAGCTAATATTTCAGAAGTCTGCTTTACACATGCTAGTTTTGGGATTTTACGATCGTATAAAGTTGATAAGGTAGATAATGCAGTAATGGTATCAAATAATTTATATAAATTTAAACACAATAAGGATTCATGTGAAGCATTTAAAATATATGGGAGTTTAGGATGCTCTGGAGTTTGTCTTGTTCCACCAAAAGTT